CTTTATTGCTCTCTAGTGCCCTTTATTGCTCTCTAGTGCCCTTTATTAGTCTCTAGTGCCCTTTATTGCTCTCTAGTGCTCTTTATTGCTCTCTAGTGCCCTTTATTGCTCTCTAGTGCCCTTTATTAGTCTCTAGTGCCCTTTATTGCTCTCTAGTGCTCTTTATTGCTCTCTAGTTCCTTTATTGCTCTCTAGTGCCTTTATATTCTCTAGTGCCCTTTATTGCTCTTAGTGCCCTTTATTAGTCTCTAGTGCCCTTTATTGCTCTCTAGTGCTCTTTATTGCTCTCTAGTGCCCTTTATTGCTCTCTAGTGCCCTTTATTGCTCTCTAGTGCCCTTTATTGCTCTCTAGTGCCTTATTAGTCTCTAGTGCCCTTTATTGCTCTCTAGTGCTCTTTATTGCTCTCTAGTGCCCTTTATTGCTCTCTAGTGCCCTTTATTGCTCTCTAGTGCCCTTTATTGCTCTCTAGTGCCCTTTATTGCTCTCTAGTGCCCTTTATTGCTCTCTAGTGCCCTTTATTAGTCTCTAGTGCCCTTTATTGCTCTCTAGTGCCCTTTATTGCTCTCTAGTGCCCTTTATTGCTCTCTAGTGCCCCTTTATTGCTCTCTAGTGCCCTTTATTGCTCTCTAGTGCCCTTTATTGCTCTCTAGTGCCCTTTATTGCTCTCTAGTGCCCTTTAATTGCTCTCTAGTGCCCTTTATTGCTCTCTAGTGCCCTTTATTGCTCTCTAGTGCCCTTTATTGCTCTCTAGTGCCCTTTATTAGTCTCTAGTGCCCTTTATTGCTCTCTAGTGCCCTTTATTGCTCTCTAGTGCTCTTTATTGCTCTCTAGTGCCCTTTATTGCTCTCTAGTGCCCTTTATTGCTCTCTAGTGCCCTTTATTGCTCTCTAGTGCCCTTTATTGCTCTCTAGTGCCCTTTATTGCTCTCTAGTGCCCTTTATTAGTCTCTAGTGCCCTTTATTGCTCTCTAGTGCCCTTTATTGCTCTCTAGTGCCCTTTATTGCTCTCTAGTGCCCTTTATTGCTCTCTAGTGCCCTTTATTGCTCTCTAGTGCCCTTTAATGCTCTCTAGTGCTGTTTATTGGTCTCTAGGGCTCTTTATTGCTCTCTAGTGCCCTTTATTGCTCTCTAGTGCCCTTTAATGCTCTCTAGTGCTGTTTATTGGTCTCTAGGGCTCTTTATTGCTCTCTAGGGCTCTTTATAGCTCTAGTGCTTTTTAGTGCTCTTTATTTTTCTTTAGTACTCTTTATTGCTCTTTATTCCCCTTTATTGCTCTTTATTCCTCCTTAGTGCTATTTACTTCTCTTTATCGCTCGATTCTTTAAAAATAAGTTCTTCTCTTAAAATGAAAATAAATGGTGTTGTAAATCATGTTCTTCAAGAAAGTTTATGGTGTTTGTTCTTCACATGAACATGATGTTCCTGTTCACTTAAGTTCTTGTATATTTGTCCCTCAGATGAACATGGTGTTCCTGCTGAACATCATACGGGTGTTGGTCACCAAACTTCGTCAGAGTAATTCCAGCGAGGCGCTTCAAGTGAGGTAAGTCCTCCTTGTTGATGGTTTACAGGGCTACTGACAGCTTGCACCATATCGAACCCGACATTCCGGTGTCCGGGAAGGAATGCCTTGTCCAAATGGGAAGTAGCGGGTGTAGGGATGCCTACTGTACGGGGGAGTGAGGTGTACATTCTTGCGTGTATGTAAGCAGCAAAGGCACGCACGCACACACACACACACACACACAAGGTTAGTTCCAGAGCTAAGGGGAATGTCCTATGAAGAAAGATTAAGGGAAATCGGCCTGACGACACTGGAGGACAGGAGGGTCAGGGGAGACATGATAACGACATATAAAATACTGCGTGGAATAGACAAGGTGGACAAGGACAGGATGTTCCAGGGAGGGGACACAGAAACAAGAGGCCACAATTGGAAGTTGAAGACACAAATGAGTCAGAGAGATAGTAGGAGTATTTCTTCAGTCATAGAGTTGTAAGGCAGTGGAATAGCCTAGAAAATGACGTAGTGGAGGCAGGAACCATACACAGTTTTAAGACGAGGTTTGATAAAGCTCATGGAGCGGGGAGAGAGAGGGCCCAGTAGCAACCGGTGAAGAGGCGGTGCCAGGAGCTAAGACTCGACCCCTGCAACCACAAATAGGTGAGTACACACACACACACACACACACACACACACACTCAAGTCATACCTAACATTCTTCCTTTTGATCAAACCTGATCACCTCGCATTCCACAGGTGCTGTATAACCCCTGCGAGTTTACCGCTCCCCAATAAACATGAGAGTACTAAAAGTAATAACATTGACTGCAGCGTCCCCTCGGAATATCTGATACAATAATTTCTGGTATTCCTTTTTTTTCCACGTGGCTGGTTGTGATGGTACTGTTTGTGGGCGTGTGGGCGTGGTTACGGGGCGTACAGGAAGGCAGTGAAGGCAGCTATCGTCTTGCTGCCACTCCTGGGTATCACCAACGTCCTGAACATGGTAGGAGCACCGCTGGGACGCTCTGCAGCAGAGTTCGGCTTATGGTCGTACGCTACACACTTTCTCACCTCGTTCCAGGGCTTCTTCATCGCCTTCCTCTACTGCTTCCTTAACGGCGAGGTGAGTTGACGCACTGCTTTAAGGTACGACGCAGAGGTTGAGGTGACTTGACGCAATGCTTTAAGGTACGACGCAGAGGTTGAGGTGACTTGACGCAATGCTTTAAGGTACGACGCAGAGGTTGAGGTGACTTGACGCACTGCTTTAAGGTACGACACAGAGGTTGAGGTGACTTGACGCACTGCTTTAAGGTACGACGCAGAGGTTGAGGTGACTTGACGCACTGCTTTAAGGTACGACACAGAGGTTGAGATGACTTGACGCAATGCTTTAAGGTACGACACAGAGGCTGAGGTGACTTGACGCTCTGCTTTAAGGTACGACACAGAGGTTGAGGTGACTTGACGCAATGCTTTAAGGTACGACACAGAGGTTGAAGTGAGTTGACGCACTGCTTTAAGGTACGACGCAGAGGTTGAGGTGACTTGACGCTCTGCTTTAAGGTACGACACAGAGGTTGAGGTGACTTGACGCAATGCTTTAAGGTACGACGCAGAGGTTGAGGTGACTTGACGCTCTGCTTTAAGGTACGACACAGAGGTTGAGGTGACTTGACGCTCTGCTTTAAGGTACGACACAGAGGTTGAGGTGACTTGACGCAATGCTTTAAGGTACGACGCAGAGGTTGAGGTGATTGACGCACTGCTTTAAGGTACGACGCAGAGGTTGAGGTGACTTGACGCAATGCTTTAAGGTACGACGCAGAGGTTGAGATGACTTGACGCACTGCTTTAAGGTACGACGCAGAGGTTGAGGTGACTTGACGCAATGCTTTAAGGTACGACGCAGAGGTTGAGGTGACTTGACGCAATGCTTTAAGGTACGACGCAGAGGTTGAGGTGATTGACGCACTGCTTTAAGGTACGACACAGAAGTCAGTGACATACATCCTCCCTCTTTCCCCTCCCCCCTCCCTCATTCCATCGTTTTTCCTCTCCTAACTTCCCTCACAGTATATGTTCTAAACTACCTTTCCTCTCCCCTCGGTTCGTAATAACGGACACTCAGGTACGGACAGCCGTGAGGAAGTACGTGGATAACTACCTGCTTCACCGTAGCGCCGGGGTGCGTCGTGGGTCAGGACTGTCGTCCGTGTTCCTCACAACGGTCACGGACCTGCCCAGGGACAGCCAGGGACGGACCAGCCACCTCTGTCCGTGTCTCAAAGGCAGTAGCAGTCCCACACACGGGTGTGTGTGTGTGTGTGTGTACTCACCTAGTTGTACTCACCTAGTTGAGGTTGCAGAGGTCGAGTCCAAGCTCCTGGCCCCGCCTCTTCACTGATCGCTACTAGGTCACTCTCCCTGAGCCGTGAGCTTTATCATACCTCTGCTTAAAGCTATGTATGGATCCTGCCTCCACTACATCGCTTCCCAAACTATTCCACTTACTGACTACTCTGTGGCTGAAGAAATACTTCCTAACATCCCTGTGATTCATCTGTGTCTTCAGCTTCCAACTGTGTCCCCTTGTTACTGTGTCCAATCTCTGGAACATCCTGTCTTTGTCCACCTTGTCAATTCCTCTCAGTATTTTGTATGTCGTTATCATGTCCCCCCTATCTCTCCTGTCCTCCAGTGTCGTCAGTGATTTCCCTTAACCTCTCCTCGTAGGACATACCTCTTAGCTCTGGACTAGTCTTGTTGCAAACCTTTGCACTTCTCTAGTTTCTTCACGTGCTTGGCTAGGTGTGGGTTCCAAACTGGTGCCGCATACTCCAATATGGGCCTAACGTACACGGTGTACAGGGTCCTGAATGATTCCTTATTAAGATGTCGGAATGCTGTTCTGAGGTTTGCTAGGCGCCCATATGCTGCAGCAGTTATTTGGTTGATGTGCGCTTCAGGAGATGTGCCTGGTGTTATACTCACCCCAAGATCTTTTTCCTTGAGTGAGGTTTGTAGTCTCTGGCCCCCTAGACTGTACTCCGTCTGCGGCCTTCTTTGCCCTTCCCCAATCTTCATGACTTTGCACTTGGTGGGATTGAACTCCAGGAGCCAGTTGCTGGACCAGGTCTGCAGCTTGTCCAGATCCCTTTGTAGTTCTGCCTGGTCTTCGATCGAGTGAATTCTTTCTCATCAACTTCACGTCATCTGCAAACAGGGACACCTCAGAGTCTATTCCTTCCGTCATGTCGTTCACAAATACCAGAAACAGCACTGGTCCTAGGACTGACCCCTGCGGGACCCCGCTGGTCACAGGTGCCCACTCTGACACCTCGCCACGTACCATGACTCGCTGCTGTCTTCCTGACAAGTAATTCCCTGATCCATTGTAGTGCCTTCCCTGTTATCCCTGCTTGGTCCTCCAGTTTTTGCACCAATCTCTTGTGTGGAACTGTGTCAAACGCCTTCTTGCAGTCCAAGAATATACAATCCACCCACCCCTCTCTCTCTTGTCTTACTGCTGTCACCATGTCATAGAACTCCAGTAGGTTTGTGACACAGGATTTCCCGTCCCTGAAACCATGTTGGCTGCTGTTGATGAGATCGTTCCTTTCTAGGTGTTCCACCACTCTTCTCCTGATATTCTTCTCCATGATTTTGCATACTATACATGTCAGTGACACTGGTCTGTAGTTTAATGCTTCATGTCTGTCTCCTTTTTTAAAGATTGGGACTACATTTGCTGTCTTCCATGCCTCAGGCAATCTCCCTGTTTCGATAGATGTATTGAATATTGTTGTTAGAGGTACACATAGCGCCTCTGCTCCCTCTCTCAATACCCATGGGAGATGTTATCTGGCCCCATTGCCTTTGAGGTATCTAGCTCACTCAGAAGCCTCTTCACTTCTTCCTCGGTTGTGTGCACTGTGTCCAGCACATGGTGGTGTGCCCCACCTCTCCGTCTTTCTGGAGTCCTTCTGTCTCCTCTGTGAACACTTCTTTGAATCCCTTGTTGAGTTCTTCACATACTTCACGGTCATTTCTTGTTGTCTCTCCTCCTTCCTTCCTTAGCCTGATTACCTGGTCCTTGACTGTTGTTTTCCTCCTGATGTGACTGTACAACAGTGTGTGTGTGTGTGTGTGTGTGTGTGTGTGTGTGTGTGTGTGTGTGGTGTGTGTGTGTGTGTGTGTGTGTGTGTGTGTGTGTGTGTGTGTGTGTGTGTGTGTGTGTGTGTGTGTGTGTGTGTGTGTGTGTGTGTGTCTGCAGTTCAGTAACATTAACATAAGAGATAAAACACAATATTCTAATTCTTTACCTTTACTCTCCTCTCTGACATATCCTTCTTTACTTCATTTTCCTTCTCCTCCTCCTCTTCCTCCTCTTCCTCCTCCTCCTCCTCCTCCTCCTCCTCCTCCTCCTCCTCCTCCTCCTCCTCCTCCTCCTCCTCCTCCTCCTCCTCCTCCTACAACACCTCTGCAGACAGGTGTTACATTTTCCAGTCATCAGGTAAAATTCCTCCAGAAATTACGCAAACCAAGACTCATCTTTTTTAAATTAAAGGGAATAATAATGAAAAAAACATGTCTCCGCTCACGTCAAGGAAGTGTAGAAGTGTGTGAATGTTACACTGTGTGAATGTTACACTTTGTGAATGTTACACTTTGTGAATGTTACACTTTGTGAATGTTACACTGTGTGAATGTTACACTGTGTGAATGTTATACTGTGTGAATGTTATACTGTGTGAATGTTATACTGTGTGAATGTTATACTGTGTGAATGTTACACTGTGTGAATGTTATACTGTGTGAATGTTATACTGTGTGAATGTTATACTGGTGAATGTTACACTGTGTGAATGTTATACTGTGTGAATGTTACACTGTGTGAATGTTATACTGTGTGAATGTTACACTGTGTGAATGTTATACTGTGTGAATGTTACACTGTGTGAATGTTATACTGTGTGAATGTTTATACTGTGTGAATGTTATACTGTGTGAATGTTACACTGTGTGAATGTTATACTGTGTGAATGTTACACTGTGTGAATGTTATACTGTGTGAATGTTACACTGTGTGAATGTTACACTGTGTGAATGTTATACTGTGTGAATGTTACACTGTGTGAATGTTACACTGTGTGAATGTTATACTGTGTGAATGTTACACTGTGTGAATGTTATACTGTGTGAATGTTACACTGTGTGAATGTTATACTGTGTGAATGTTACACTGTGTGAATGTTTATACTGTGTGAATGTTACACTGTGTGAATGTTATACTGTGTGAATGTTACACTGTGTGAATGTTATACTGTTGTGAATGTTACACACTGTGTGAATGTTACACTGTGTGAATGTTACACTGTGTGAATGTTACACTGTGTGAATGTTACACTGTGTGAATGTTACACTGTGAATGTTACACTGTGTGAATGTTACACTGTGTGAATGTTACACTGTGAATGTTACACTGTGTGAATGTTACACTGTTGTAACACTTCTAGATGACACTGTGTGAATGTTACACTGTGTGAATGTTACACTGTTGTAACACTTCTAGATGACACTGTGTGAATGTTACACTGTGTGAATGTTACACTGTTGTAACACTTCTAGATGACACTGTGTGAATGTTACACTGTGTGAATGTTACACTTTTGTAACACTCCTAGATGACACTGTGTGAATGTTACACTTTTGTAACACTCCTAGATGACACTTTGTGAATGTTACACTGTGAATGTTACACTGTGAATGTTACACTGTGTGAATGTTACACTGTGTGAATGTTACACTGTGTGAATGTTACACTGTGTGAATGTTACACTGTGTGAATGTTACACTTTGTGAATGTTACACTGTGTGAATGTTACACTATGTGAATGTTACACTGTGTGAATGTTACACTGTGTGAATGTTACACTGTGTGAATGTTACACTGTGTGAATGTTACACTGTGTGAATGTTACACTGTGTGAATGTTACACTGTGTGAATGTTACACTGTGTGAATGTTATACTGTTGTAACACTTCTACATGACACTGTGTGAATGTTATACTGTTGTAACACTTCTACATGACACTGTGTGAATGTTATACTGTTGTAACACTTCTAGATGACACTGTGTGAATGTTACACTGTTGTAACACTTCTACATGACACTGTGTGAATGTTACACTGTTGTAACACTTCTAGATGACACTGTGTGAATGTTACACTGTTGTAACACTTCTAGATGACACTGTGTGAATGTTACACTGTGTGAATGTTACACTGTGTGAATGTTACACTGTGTGAATGTTACACTGTGTGAATGTTACACTGTGTGAATGTTACACTGTGTGAATGTTATACTGTGTGAATGTTACACTGTGTGAATGTTACACTGTTGTAACACTTCTAGATGACACTGTGTGAATGTTACACTGTTGTAACACTTCTAGATGACACTGTGTGAATGTTACACTGTGTGAATGTTATACTGTTGTAACACTTCTAGATGACACTGTGTGAATGTTACACTGTTGTAACACTTCTAGATGACACTGTGTGAATGTTACACTGTTGTAACACTTCTAGATGACACTGTGTGAATGTTACACTGTTGTAACACTTCTAGATGACACTGTGTGAATGTTACACTGTTGTAACACTTCTAGATGACACTGTGTGAATGTTATACTGTTGTAACACTTCTAGATGACACTGTGTGAATGTTACACTGTTGTAACACTTCTAGATGACACTGTGAATGTTACACTGTGTGAATGTTACACTGTTGTAACACTTCTAGATGACACTGTGTGAATGTTACACTGTTGTAACACTTCTAGATGACACTGTGTGAATGTTACACTGTGTGAATGTTACACTGTTGTAACACTTCTAGATGACACTGTGTGAATGTTACACTGTGTGAATGTTACACTGTTGTAACACTTCTAGATGACACTGTGTGAATGTTACACTGTGTGAATGTTACACTGTTGTAACACTTCTAGATGACACTGTGTGAATGTTACACTGTTGTAACACTTCTAGATGACACTGTGTGAATGTTACACTGTGTGAATGTTACACTGTTGTAACACATTCTAGATGACACTGTGTGAATGTTACACTGTTGTAACACTTCTAGATGACACTGTGTGAATGTTACACTGTTGTAACACTTCTAGATGACACTGTGTGAATGTTACACTGTTGTAACACTTCTAGATGACGCTGTGTGAATGTTACACTTTTGTAACACTTCTAGATGACACTGTGTGAATGTTACACTGTTGTAACACTTCTA